CACACCCCACAAGTCCCTGTCCCAAGCTGTCTGGGAAGGTATGTCTAGATTATCTTGGGCTCTCACCTGTGGAGCTGCCTGAGGCAGTGCGACCCCAACCTGTCCCTGAGCTCTGCCCATGGCCTCTGCTAGAACCCAGATCCTCTGTAGGCCTCAGCTCTCACAGTCTCTGCTGGGAGAGAAGCAGCTGTGGTGTGGCAGGAGGAGAAGGACCCTCTCCCCTTGCCCCTACTCCATTCTATCACTAGGCCTGACCACAGCCAGTGGATCACTCTGTTGAGACACAGACAGGTCCTGTTCTGTGGAGGCCCTGGGGACTTTGGGTTCCAAAGTATCTAACAGCTTGGGACCTGAGACAGCAAGGAGCCTGACCAGTGGCAGAGCAGGGAACCCTGCTGTCTGGTGAGCCCAAGGAAGATTCTACAGTGGCCACCACAGGAAGAGGGAATGGCACAGCTGAGGCCTACGTAGACAAGGGAAATACCAATGTGATCACCAGAGAGAAAACAAGTTGGGGACCACCTTCCACTGGTCAACTTCAGGGGCCAACCTGGGGCCTCTGCAGAGGTCTGTCCCTATGGGAATAGGGCAGGTACTAAAGACAGGGGAGTACCTGGGCTGCTCCAGGAGAGGCTGCCTTCCCTTCTAGTTGGCTGAATTGTTCAGGTTCTTAAGTCCCTGTCCTTGGCTAGTCACCTGAGGATACCCAGTTCTCGATACTAGCAGCTGACACTAGGTTCAGCCAAGTCAAGTCCTGGCCCTGCTCTCAGACATCTGGTTAAGATATATCTGGCTACATGCCAACCAGTTGTGTATGGAAAAGCTACTGTAGCCCCCAAAGCCCTATACCCCTGGGCCTAAATGCCCAGGAAATACAGGGGCCAACATATGGAATTTGGGATCCCATTTTACAGAAAGAAAAGCTGAGGCCCCATGAGGAAAAGGGGCTAGTGACTGGCAGAGCCTGTGCCTCCCACTGTTTTGCACCCAGGGCTCTGCAGGAAGGGTTATTTGGGGACCCTGACTCCATCTGGTTAATTCCCCTTGCTGCTCCTGGCTCCTTTCACCTTTCTTCCTCTGAATCCTAACAGCCATCTGGTCAATTTCCTTTCCAGAGCCTGCTTCCTGCACCTGTCTCTTACCAAGGAAGGGCTGTGAAGGGAAAATTGCATCCCCATCTGGGGGGACCCCATCCTCTCGGGCCCATACATACCCCTTGAGGTTGGACAGGTCTCCACTGAAAACAGTGCTGCTCTGCAGCCTGACCCTGCCTTCCCTTCCCTTGCTTAGTCTGAGAAGGCAAGCTCTCTGAGCAGTGCCCACGACTTTCCTTCAGTACACACAGGCTTCTCTGCAGTTGTGTCAGCCTCCAGGGGTCACATGAGGAGACAAATGAGAGAGGGAGCAGCTGGTCCCTGAGATCCTGTCACACCCAAGCCATCCAACAGAAAAGAAGCAGGAAGCAAAGGGGGTGTGTTGTGGGTTGTGTCCCCAAAAAAAGATCTCTTGCAGTCTTCTGTACCTCAAACTAGGACCTTATTTGGAGATGGACTCTTTACAGAGGTAACCAGGTAAAAATGGGATCCTGGGTCTTAATCCCATGTGACTGGGATCCTTATAAAAAGGAGATGTGAATACAGATGTATGAGCAGGGGAGCACACCAGGTGAAGACAGGAACCTGGGTGACACATCTGCAAGCTAAGGAATGGCAGAGGTTGCAGGAGCCAGCAGGGCCCACAGCAAGGGGTCCTGGGACAGGAGCGGCTCTGCTGAGGGACCTGTGATCTCAACTTCTAGCTTCCTGAACTGAGGACCTCAGTATACACTGTTCTGGCCTCTCAGGCTGAGATGCTCAGCTGTGGCTGGCTATCAAACAGAGGGAGTGAGGATCAGTCCCCATGTTGCAGCTTTCCAGCCCCCAGAAAACCCTGATTTCAAAGGAAACCTTATGTGGGCACTCTTGCAGCCCTGGGAAACAGGTTTTGAGAGCTACATGTACAAAGCAAGGCCCAGTGTTATGTCAGACACAAGGGATATGGTCCTAAAATGTCAACTACCATTATGTTTCCCAGGGCTGAGAATGGCTCTGGGAGCTCTCATGTCCCTTGCCAATCAGATACAGTAGTGTAGGCTTCATCCAGCTCCCATTTAGCTCCAATTCTACCTGCCCACATGTCTGCCTGGTAGAAGAGTACTGTGGTAAGCTTTGGCCATGATCCATGGACTATTTGACACAGAGCTAGGGCATGTACCTACACACAGGTGAGTCCTCAGCTAGCTTCTCTCATCCCTTCCAGCCACATCAACAATTCAGCCTCATCAGAGGCTCTGTGTGGACCTCATTCCAGGTCCTTACAGCACTGTTATCAACCAGGGCTTCTAGTTACCTTATTGGTATCTGTGTCTTGCCCTGTGTGCACACAGCTGGAAGTATGTGCTCATATCTGATGTAGCTTGAGGAATGTGCATGTACATATTGGTGTAAGTCTATGCACATTTGCCAAAGACCAAGGGAGAAGACTGTCAGGAAGAGGCAGGAACCAGGTTGAGACTGCAGTCAAGGGGTCAGGGCCTAAGGCACATGAGCCCTCAATCTGGCCCAGTCCCTCCTCCCCCAGTAACAACCTCACCAACTCTACTTCTTATTTGGGTTAAGGATTATTTTTGTGTGTGTATGGTCATTTTCTTTCGAACTCTGTAGAAGTGCCTATACCTACTGAGCCATTTGGCTAGCTGTTGTGTAGCAATTTCAACCTCCAAGATAAAACATTTCATCTTGGACCTGCACCAGGCTACAGACCAGCCAAGGGAGTCAGATATGGGATCTGTTGTGTAGATGAGCCTCCTTAAGTTATGCGGTGTGGACACCTGCTTCAATCCATCTCTCCTGGTCATTCTCTTTTACTGTGTCCCTGGTACCCCCTGACCGAAACTCAGAAGCCCCCAGAAATAGGACCAGGCTCCCTCCCCTCTGCTCCTAGGCACAGATACACTGGGGCCCACTCTGTACTTTAAGTTCCCCTGCCAGGGGTCTTGACCCACCTGGGTGAGCATCAGTTGCTGCTCCTGCAATGGAGGCCATACCCAGGGCCAAGGCAGGCATCTTGGCTGCCCCCAGAGAGACTCTGCCTGGGCCCTGAAGTACCCAGGCCCCATCACCATCCCAGCTCTGCTCCTAGATCTGTAGGCCAGGCCTCAGCATCTGCTGTGGATATACAATGCAGTATCCTGGGTGTTCCTCACAACCTCTAGGCTCCACTAGGTGGTCTTAGCAGGCTCCTTGGTGCCTGCAAGGGGCATGTTATAATTGGAGTCTCACCCCAGCTTAAGTTGTGACCCTATACAAGCTCTTTCCTACAATCTGGTCTGTTTCTCCATCTAACCAGAAGAGTGGGCTGCATGACCAAAGGTTAGAAGGGAGTCCCTCAGCTTGGGTAGAAGCCGCCACATTGTACTCCTTTTCCGGGTCCCACTCCAAGAAAGAAGACCAGAGAATTAGGGGCAGGGCTTTGCCATGTGTCCACGTGGGAGGGGGGCTCTGATGTCATCCCTCCCCAGGGGTCCCCAGGCCAGGCTTTGGGCTAAGGGACTGTTAACACATCTGGTTCAAATGATGCTATCCTTTTCCACCTCTGTCTGAAGTAGCAAGATCTTGGCCACCAAAGGGGCTGTCTGCTTTGTTCTGTACCCATGTGCACCCCTCACCATCACTCTCACCCCTCACTTGTCTTTTATTCCTGTCTGGCCCCTTTCACTCCTGTTGTCCTTGGGATTCCTACAGCAGGTGATTCTCCTGGTCCAGGTGGATCAAGGGAGCATTTCCGGGGGGGAGAAGGCTAAAGACAGCATCCCCTGCAGAGGAGCTGGGGAGTGTGGGGCCAGCCTCCCTACCCCAACAGGCAAGGCAGAGTCTGCAGCCTCTGATAAAACAGATTCCTAGCGAAGGGCTCAGCTCATGGCCCAACATGAGTCTGAGTCTTGGCTTGTACACAAGGGGCTGTGGTTCATAGAGTTGGGAGCAGAGAGATGGGGGAGGTGGGCTCCCCAGATCTTATCTATCACTACAGAGCTAAAGATGTGCAACTCTCCACCCCCCGCTGACCTGATAGACACCACCTCTCCTCTGCAGCTGCAGATGGCTCCAGACCTCGGGCCAGCAAGAGGACTAGGGATTCTGTTGTAGAATGCTAGAGCAGGAAGGCTAAGAGATAGTCAGCTGGATTCTGAGGGTCATTCAAGTCATGTATAGAGCAGTGGATCCATGAGGGTGAGCAATTATTGAACCACTGAAGACTAGGTATGTGGGCAATCAAGATGGCTCTACCTGTGCATTTTGTATGGAGCAGTAATACTGGTGACTTCAGCCCACATAGCCCCCTCCCTCTGGAGATAGACACCTTATCTGGGTATGTAAGGAAGCTCTTTTGTCCACTGAGCATGGGGATCCTGGTCCTTCCTTTTGTCTCCAGCCAGTGCCCCTAGCTTCACCCAGCACATGTCCCTCAAATATAAGCACAGCTCTAGAGACACCAGTGAGAGAGGACTGTTCAACAGAGCCTCCCTTTTGGGTGCTCTTTCTCCTTCAGATACCCCAGGTGTCTTGACAGGCCCAGTCTGGGAACATGACTCCAGATGTGGACAGAAGCTTTCTGGAGCTTTCTATGAGCATGAGCATTCTGGAGCTTTCATCCTGGTAAAAGGACCTTGTCAGATCAGAGGATCTCCTTCAGGCTTACAGATAGACAAGACCAACCTGAGGAGGAACAGGAACCTCACTGTTTCAAAGCCAGCAGTTTACACCAGGCCTAGCTTAATCCCAGTTTGTGTTCATGCCTCTGAAGCACTTAGGCTTGCTTGGTCAGGCTGCCCTCAGGTGGCAGGCAAGCTTGGTCCACTGCTACCTGCTCTCTGCCAGCCACATCTGCAGCTCTGACTGCCTCCAGTCCTGTTCTGGGGCCCTGCCTGAGCTCCTGCCAGGAAGAAAGGAGCCAGGTTGTAGCTTGGGCCCCAGGGGCTGCTGTGCCCAATTTCCCATACCTACCTGTACTCTTTAATGGGGCTCAGTGGATGTCCATGGTCCAGTGGCCACAAGTGAACAGAAGTGCCAGGGACAGCTGGCAGGGATGGATATGTGGTCTATGGGCTCTGTGCAGTAAGCTCTGAAAGCAGAGCAGCCCCATGGAGCTGGTGCAGACCTGACTCCTAAGCACCAGACTGAGATGCAGGACTAGGCCCTGGGCCCTGGTTGACTCTTAAATCCCACCCCTAACACTTGGCCCAGGGTCTCAGTGATTGAGACTTCACATAAACACCAACTTCAACCCATCTACTCCTCAGTTCGAGGCTCCCATGAGTTATGGGTGCTGACTGTGGGCAGCCTCTTTCTCAATCAGCAGGACTTTGATCCTTAAAGGAGCTGGTTCAGCCGAGGAACTGAAGCTACAAAGGGATGACATATGGCCCAGGTCATGCTGGCACTCTCAAGAAGACCTAGAATTCCTGCCCAATGCTGCCTGGCACACCTTCCTTGACCTTGCCATCCCCCACTGTTCCTCTTCCTAGTATGGCATCTGGAAATGGCAGGGCTCAGGCAGACATTTGCAAACCACTAGTTTAGCTATGATGTGGGGAGCCAGAAGCCCTCACACCACTGCTCTGCTGTTTCTCTGGCTTCAGCTGTGTGATGGGGTTCCTGACCTCCATGCCCACCAGTGTGGTAAGGGAATTTATGGAGTGGCGGCTCAGCTATTCTCATCACCACCCTCTCTACCTACAGGGGTTGGGCCCAAGGCCTGCTGCGATTTCATTCACTCACACAATGTGGGAGGACTCGGTGGTCCCCCATTCTCAGGCTCCAGGTCTCCTGCCTCAGCTCTGGGTAGGGCCCAGAAGGTGTCTCCATTGAGCAGAGGAGACTTGGGCCTTTCCCCCCCGACCCACCCTAGAGGGACCTGATACACTTCACATTCCCAGAACTTGGTTCCCCTCAGGAAGACACCACTTTCAAGTCTCCTCTCCTCTGAAGTAGACTCCCTCCTCTCACTACTCCAAGCCCATTCCCTCAGCCCCTTCTGGTTGTCTTCCCACAAGGCCACTTTAAAACAGACCATGAGGACTGACCCGTCACTCCCACCTCCCACACCTTGGCATAACACCAACAATCCCACCCTAATTGAGCACTCTGTTCAGGTAGAAGTGAGGTGCTTTCCACAGGTGGTCTATCTCTTGTCTGATAACCTGAGCTGTGCTGGGCTTGGTCTAAGAAGTTCATGTCTTCCAGGTCCATGGGTGGGTATAATAGGTAAGACTGCTGGGTGTGAGGAGCTGAGGGAAGGTGGCATTACAGCACAGGAAAGGGAAGGTGACCTCTCCCAGGGTTGACCTGACCCTGGGGCTGGGATCAAAGGTGTATCAATTCATCCCAGACAGGACATAGCTGGATGTGGCACAGGAGAGTGCAAGGGCAGCAGGAGTCCAGGGACCTGGGGGTGGGGGTGGGGCAAAAGAGAGGTCAAGAGAGACAAGAGAAGCTATGGGGGTTGGGGGGTTCAGGTAGAGGCAGAACAGAACATCTCCCTGGTACCTTGAGTCCTGATGCAGAGCTGTCACACAAAAAAGACATGGCACAAAGCAGGGCCCTAGAAGCAGTGGTGTGGAGCAAGCCTCCTCTAGGGGTAGCCTGGTCCCAGAGTCCCTTTTCAGCAGAGCACTGCAGGGATGAGGTATGGTGAGGAAGAAAAGTTAGCCCGAGTTCACTTCAGTCTCAGTCTCTCTCTCCCACCTCTCTCTCTGTCTCCCCCCCACACACACACTTTTTTAAGACAGGATCTCCCTATAATAGTCCCAGCTGGCCTGGAACACAATATGAGGCCAGGTTGGTCTCCATCTCACAGAGATCCACGTGCCTCTGCCTCCCGACTGATGAAAGTAAAGAAAGGCCTATGCCACCACACGGGTGTCAGGGTCAATTCTTTCCTGCTGATAAGATTTTGAGTTCTTTTATGAAGAAATGGACTAAAGAATGAAGCTCCAAAGGGAGACCCTCAAAGCAGGAAGGCCAGGCAGCAGCCTTCAGAGAGGAAGGGGCCAGGAGAAAGCTCTTGTCCACCTCAGTGAGAGGTACTTTCCCGGTTTCTATGATAGGACAGGTGGGAAGATTGCCTAACTTACCCTATCAGGCTGGCCTGATGCTGGAGGTCAGGCTCGGGACAGGGGCTTCCCTGAGGATCTCTAAGCTGCAGATGCTGGTTTGGCTCCCTGGAACCCCTGGGAACCGAGGGTGGGCAACACTGGTGAGCGGAGTTGACACCAGAGCCCTCCTACCTCTCCTGAATGGATGAAATCTTGCCTATGTGGCCCCAGGGCCCAGGGGCTCAGGTGGGAGCGGTATCTCCCAAGATCTGGAATTTTTCAAAATCTTGGGGTCCCCAGGCCGAGGCCTTAGGGGAGTGGGGCGCGGGGGGGGGACAGGCACCCCACCGCTGAAGCGGCTCTTGAATGTGTATAGAAACAATCACCCTATTCAGCGGCTGTGATTCAGAAGGTGATGAAGATGGGGGTCTATCTACTCTGTAAGCCACTCAGATCCCAATTCAGGAGGACCTGGAGGCAAAGGTCTCCAGAGGCAGGGTCACCGTGGGGGTGGGGTGACAGCACCTGCTGGGTGGACATCCCATCCTACATGGGAAGGAGGCCACCTGGGAGACCCTGCCCCGCCGGCCACTTGCGCCTAGCGTGGCGTGGGGCAATTAGGCGCCGCACCCGCCCGCTTGGCTGCGCGACGCCCGGGGGCTGGGACGCGGGCAAAGTGAGGCCCTCCCAAAGGCCCGCGACCTGTTTTCTGCTCAGGAAAAAATGGGGCCTCGTGATCCTGCCACGACAATGCGTGGGACAGTAGTGGGAGGGGTCTGGGTGGCCTCACGCTCCAGGCCGCAGCACACCGTCGTCAGAGTGACTCGGGTGGCAGCGCAGCCGGAGCGCGGCACGGCGCCAGGCTTTTGTGTGGCGCGGGGTTTCTTAACCCAGCAACAGTGCTGATTGGCAGCCAGACGCTCAGAGGCGCTCAAGGGAAGGGGACGTCCTCTCCGTCAGACCCCACCGCCGAGGCTCGGGGGTGTCCTCCCGGAGACTGCTCCGCCACCAGGAGCGAGCTGGGGCGTGGCGCCAAGGCTTTCAAAACACTGGCACACGACGCGGAGAGAATTATGTGCCGTTCGCTTCTTTCACGCAAGCGGAGTCGCGCCCGCCTTCCCGAACCCCGGCCCACGGACTTGCATCTCTAGCGCCCTGTGGGGCCCCGGGGACACAATGCCGGTCCTCTCCGCGCGCAGGAAGAGGCTGGCGAGCGCGGCCGGGCCGCGGCGGCAAAACGGACCCAGCCTGGCGGCCGGGTGGGCTCCACCTTTCGGCTCCGAACGTCCCCCCGGCAGCGGCCGAGCACCTGTGCGGCCTCGGGGGCCTACGTGCTCCGCGGCACGGCGAGGGGCGGGCCGCGGCCGGAGACTGCCCCTCGGACCTTCCGGAAGAGGCCTCCACATGTGTATAGAAACAATCACCCTATTCAGCGGCTGTGATTCAGAAGGTGATGAAGATGGGGGTCTATCTACTCTGTAAGCCACTCAGATCCCAATTCAGGAGGACCTGGAGGCAAAGGTCTCCAGAGGCAGGTTCACCGTGGGGGTGGGGTGACAGCACCTGCTGGGTGGACATCCCATCCTACATGGGAAGGAGGCCACCTGGGAGACCCTGCCCCGCCGGCCACTTGCGCCTAGCGTGGCGTGGGGCAATTAGGCGCCGCACCCGCCCGCTTGGCTGCGCGACGCCCGGGGGCTGGGACGCGGGCAAAGTGAGGCCCTCCCAAAGGCCCGCGACCTGTTTTCTGCTCAGGAAAAAATGGGGCCTCGTGATCCTGCCACGACAATGCGTGGGACAGTAGTGGGAGGGGTCTGGGTGGCCTCACGCTCCAGGCCGCAGCACACCGTCGTCAGAGTGACTCGGGTGGCAGCGCAGCCGGAGCGCGGCACGGCGCCAGGCTTTTGTGTGGCGCGGGGTTTCTTAACCCAGCAACAGTGCTGATTGGCAGCCAGACGCTCAGAGGCGCTCAAGGGAAGGGGACGTCCTCTCCGTCAGACCCCACCGCCGAGGCTCGGGGGTGTCCTCCCGGAGACTGCTCCGCCACCAGGAGCGAGCTGGGGCGTGGCGCCAAGGCTTTCAAAACACTGGCACACGACGCGGAGAGAATTATGTGCCGTTCGCTTCTTTCACGCAAGCGGAGTCGCGCCCGCCTTCCCGAACCCCGGCCCACGGACTTGCATCTCTAGCGCCCTGTGGGGCCCCGGGGACACAATGCCGGTCCTCTCCGCGCGCAGGAAGAGGCTGGCGAGCGCGGCCGGGCCGCGGCGGCAAAACGGACCCAGCCTGGCGGCCGGGTGGGCTCCACCTTTCGGCTCCGAACGTCCCCCCGGCAGCGGCCGAGCACCTGTGCGGCCTCGGGGGCCTACGTGCTCCGCGGCACGGCGAGGGGCGGGCCGCGGCCGGAGACTGCCCCTCGGACCTTCCGGAAGAGGCCTCCACAGCTTCGGCCTGGACCCTCGAGGAGCAGGAAGGTCCCCCAGAGCCTCCGAGTCCGGGCCTAGAGCGGCCAGGCCTCTGGGCCAGGTCGAGCCCCGGCAGCCAGCGGCTGCGTCACGCGAGGGGGCGGTGCTGCCACGGGCGGAGGCCGGAGCCGGAAGCGGAAGAGGCGCTCGGAGTGGGGAGTGGGGCCTAGCTGCAGCCGGAGCCTGGGAGACGGTGAGTGGTGTCCGGGTCCGCGGCTGGCGTGGGACGATGGGGCAGGCAAGCTGGTACGGGTAGCCCGACCTCCGGTTGGGTCTCGGCATACCCCCATTTCCCTCTTCGGCTCACCTCGGGCCGCGGCTCCGACCTCTCACCCCTGACCTGCCACTTCTCTTCGGGAGGGCGGTCATTGCAGACCCCGACTTCTGGATCCCGCGCAGCTGGAGGCGGAGCCCGAGCGGCCTCTGGGGCGGCTAGGAAGATCCACTTTGGGCCCGTACCTGCCGGCGGGATGGGATCGGCCCGACCTAGGCTAGCCTGAAAAAACTTCCCCTACCCCCAGTTCGAGGCTTAGCCCGCAGACCTCCTCCGCGCGCCTCCTGGAGTTTGATTCCGGCCCAGGCTGACCTGCCTTCTGGCCTCCGGGTCTTCCCTCGGCGGTTACCCGGAACAGGGCTCTTAGATCTCTCGGCTCCGGGCGGAAGGAAGGGACTCCTCTCCGTGTTTGGTTGTGATGGAGCCCCTCCAGCCTGGGGAGTAGGCCTGACCAAGCAGACAGTACAAATGCCCAGGCTGTTCCTCGGTCCGGCCGGGAGTCTCTGTGCTTTAGTTCCGGGTGCGGGTGCCCTGATGCTCGGGTGGGAATTGCCTGAGCCAGGCCCCTGTCAAGGCGGAGTTGGCGGCCTTCCAGCTTCCCTCCTCCGTGCCCTTGAAAAGGAGGAGCGTTTTGCCCGGTGGCAGCCGCAGCTTGCGAGGTGGCAGGTTTGAGGTTGCAGTGGTGGGGCACTGCCAGCCAAAAATAACCATGGGTCGCCGGGGTGGCAGGAATCCGGGAGGGCAGCCGCTGACTTGGCTGGCTGCTCTTCTTGTCAGCCCAGTTCTCTAGCCAGGAACAGCAAATGAGAAGCCGGTTAGGTCTCAGAGAAAAGCTGGCATCCTTGGCTTAGTTTCATTGGTCACATTGCCTTTTTCTTCATTGTGCAGAGCAGAGCCTCCTCAAATCGTAATTGTGGCCCTTAGTTTTAAACAGCCTTTCTGCTGGACTTCTCAGGTAGAAACGATTTGTGAGAAATAGACCCTAGAGCTCTGGATGGAAGGATGACGTGGAACACCTGGTATTTCCCGTGTCGCCTGCCCAGGATGTATTGCAAGGGAGGTGATCTGTTATTGCCCTGTATGTGGTTGGTACTTCATGGCCTTCATACTTGTCTATCTCCCTTGCCAGCCTGGGAGGTGTTATCTTCATTTTCCAGGCATGGCAACAAAGGTCTAGAGTGACTTGTATAAGGTCACAGAGCCAGTAAGTGGCAGCAGTGGGATTTAGTCCACCGTTTTCTGCCAGACCTCTCACCTCATAGTCCTTTGGAAGGGGTTTATAAATTGTCCTCACAGCACTGAACACAGCCCTCAAGTGTTATCTGGAACCTTCTTAATGCTAATGAAAGGCTGCCTTTAGTACTTGTGGCCAAAACCTGTGCTAGGCTTTTGACTTTGTAGGGTAGACATATGTAATTCTCTCAGAGATTACCCTTCCCTTATTTCTAGAGGAGGTTGAAGATTAGTTTAATAACTTGCCCAAAGGCAAACAGTGAAGTGGCAGTGCTATGATTCAAATTGACATCTGACTCTTGAAGGTGGAACCTCCCACCCAAGTAAACATAAGAACATAAAAATCTTCTAGGTCCCAGGAGGAAAACTTTGGCCTGTTTATCTAGATCTGGTGTTTTGTCTGCCCAGTGAGGATGGGCAGGACCACACTTGCTTTGTGGGAAGGTGTGTGCCCTGGCCAGTGGGATGTCTTCTGGGTCAGTTAGTGAGGGGTGAGATAGTACCTTCAGGCCATAGCTTGAGCACCTGACCCAAGATAATTACAAGAAAACAGGGCGGCATCATTCAGCTAATCGTGAGGACAACAAATCCAGGCTCTTGAGTGAACTGTCTCTGATTTTATGTGGTGTTTATATCCAAGGATTTCTGGGTGGCTCAGACTTCCCAGATGGAGGGCAGTGCCTTCTTCAGGCCCCAGAGGTTTGGATGAATAGACCTGCTCATCCTGCTGATACATCATACTATTTCATTCTTGGATCTTGCTGATGAGCCTCAATGGATTTGTCAGGCAAGCCTAAGACTGCGTGAGTTAGTTAAGGTTAGAGGTTAGCTTTGACCAAGTTTTGAAGGCTTAGCATGACTGATGGGAAAATGTGAGGGATTTGGATATGGGTGAACAGAATGATAACCTTATGTAGTCACCTTTCTCAGCTGATATTGGATCTGACCTGGCAGTCTCCTGTACTGGCTTTAAGTCCCCACGGGATGGGGATAGTAAGTGGAAAGCCCTCTTGTCCTGCTTCTCCATGTAGACCTGCAGCCAGTTCACCCTTTGACTCCTCCTGAGATTGGTGTAGGAGAGGGTGCTGGAGCAGGGAGCTAGGACAGTGGTGATACTGGTGGAGAAAGGTGAACCACCTGGAGTTGTCTGTGGGGTACTA